ATGATTTTTAATTTTGTTAGTGGAATTAATTAAGTTTGGGTATTTTTCTTTATATTTATAGGCAAAATATCCTGCTATATACTCGAGAGCATCGTAGGAAGTTTCTTCAGAGATTGTGTTAAAGGCTAGATTGCGTGTAGAGTTTCCTGAAGATGTATTTGAAGAAAAAGTAGTTTTACATTCAGTATATTGGTCTGTATTTTCACTTGATACTTCTACATGTGCTTTCTATTACTTTGGGTATAATATATTCCTCTTGTCTTCGATCTGTAGTATATTTACTTTTGACTCAAAAATACCAGGATTCTTAACTAAAATAATCAATCTAATCCTATATATAGCATTTAATGGGCTTGGATGTTCATTAGGACCCCAGCTTCTAATTTGAGTAANTGTGTAAACACGCTAATTAATTTTGTTTATTTACCTTTTCTACAGTTATTTATAATTTAGTTTTAATTATACTCTTATTTGTTTTTATTGTATTTTTCACTAGCTTTAATGATTTCTGCTTTGTACTATTTTATTACATTTCATTCAACTGCTGTATCGCATTGCATAAATTCTTACAACTTGTAATTCACCTGTAATCTTGTTTGGTAGCCCGGCTATGCCTCGCGGTACCGGGTATGTACTTCTATGGTGCCTTAATAAAAAAGATTGATTGATTGATTGATTGTATTCGTGTATCTACGACAAGAGGTAACCCGATTATAATAATGGATGCCTAAAACACGCGATACAAACGGTCAAAGGTAAATCCCAAGGACTTTAAACTACAAGGATAGCCAGATCCCGTATATTTGTTAGCGTGACCTTGGCTCTATGTGACGTCACAGCAAGCCCTCTACTTCAACACGACAGATCTTTCAAATAACAAAATACGATACAATATTAAATCATTTCTTAATTAATTATTAAATTACTACTAAATGTAAACTACTGTAGAATTTTCGGATTTAATAAGTGTACTGTACTGTATGTCAATAAATGTACAAGTCTTTTGTCTAATATTTATTTAACAAATTAATGAGCTATATTTTTTATTATGTGATTATCTTACTTAACTTTTTAATTTTTTTTCGACAATCACCATTTTCAGAAGGCATTCTTTTCAATATTTTATAGTTTTCTTGTTTAAGATTTCTATAATTAATTCTTATTATAGTTCTTAATTTACAAAAATCTTTTATTAAAGTAAAAGGTAAAACTGTTTCCACTGACTAATTCTGTACAACTCCGGGGCCTTTTTTATACGATT